ATGTCAACCAACAGCGGCGTCGACCCAGTGTAAAAATAATTAAAGATAAAGAGCTCCTTATAGTTTGCTACCCAAAAAACAGCATCAATTTCAATAACATAGAAAAAATATATATATCATTATTAAATTTGAAAATATCAATATCATTCCTTAGATATTTACAATGGAAAAGTGATAACAAATACATTTTTATTTTTACATTTTTGGTTTTTGAATTGTTCAAATTGCTTTGAAACTAAATCAGAGGAATATACAAGCCTTTTTGAAAATAAACGATGGATTTTAAAGAAGAAACTGTAAGTGATGCTGGAAATCTTGTACACTGTATAAGTACCAAAAGACACGGAAACGATGAGACAATCGGATATGAAACTCCCAATATAACACGATTTAGGTTCAATAACAAAGTAAAAACCTTTCTACTCTGAAATGAAACTCCCAATATACACGATTTAGGTTCAGTAACATGAACAATCAAAGTAAAAACCTTTCTACTCTGAAAATTCAACCGACAGAACATTGTCGAGTGAAAGGACATAATGATGAACATATCGTACTCGACGTCAAGTTGTGGATATTGTTAGTTAGAATCATCTTGTAAACATAGTACTAATCATCAACTTTACAGATATTTGGATCTGAAATGAAATAATCGCGAAAATTGTATAGGACATCACTGAAAATTTCATTCAATGCAAACTAATACACCAATTTATATACGAGACAATAAATAGTGTATGTTGATGGTCCTAGTTCTCCGTGATTTTGTTATAGTATTTATCAAAAGATTAAATGATCATGAGAAGGGAAATGAAGCAAAATAAAGTTGTACTTTCCTTTTCATTTACCTAGAAAACGGGTGCTATGTTCCAGGAAAACGACGGATATACATGAAGCAATATCCAATATATGAATATATATAAATGTATGACTCGGAGGTGCGATGGGAACGCTGAAGTGCGATGGTCCGTTCACTGGTGTTTGATTGTCTATATTACGCTTGATGGCTAGTTAAAAATCTATAGATGTTCAATTATTGTGAGAAGTAGATTTCTTAATAGTTAGTATATACAGTTACAGTTGCATACTAAATGAGAGGTCGTCCTCTTTGATTTTTTGCATGTGTACATAATTCTTTTATCTTTGCGTTGTTCCTCTCGTGAGGTCCTCGTTTACCTTAATATTATAATACGGAGATGTCTGCGGACCCGTATGCAATTAGAGAATGCCACACTCCATCGTACGTGAAAAAGAACCTTCTGTAGATTTCGAACAAAAATCCCTCTTCACCAATCACTTCCCGTTTCCCGTAGTATTAGTAGTTTTTAAGCTCCTTATTAACTTAAAAACCCGAAAAACTGCTTCTAACAAACAAATTGACTTCTACATCGACAAAAAAACATTGAAAATATAGTTTATGTAGTCCATCGCACTTTAGCGTAGCTATCAAGAAGATAGCGTCACAATGCCAGCAACGCGCTTCAGCGTGATCAAAAAAGCACTTCATCGTCAAACCATCGCACATCAGCGTGACCATCGCGGTTTGGAGTACTATCGCAGTTCAGAGTCCTAAATATATTAATAGAGAGAGAGAACAACCGATATTCGTAGCAATTATACAAACATACGTCAAAATATGAGTTTTCTTGTATCTTGCATTTCCAATCATAAGTTGAAAAAAATAAAGTTTTGCTTTATCATGCATTCATCATTGTAAGCATGTGGTAATTTGGAATTGCTTACAGCATAAGCTAATCAGCTGAAACAACAAACAGTGATTTACTTTGTACAACTAAATCAAGCTGGAACATTAATCATCAATTACTTTTATGTAATCCATTTCATAATCATAAGGTAATAAAACATTAGGAATAATGCAAATTGTTACAAAATCCGATTAAACTGAACCTTTGAAAAATGTCCTTTTATCTTAATTCTTATTCGATGGAAAATATTTTATTTTGTAACTACAGTTGATAAATTTACTGCCACCTAAGTCATACCAACCATAGGTATATATTACGACTTAAGTCAACTGGTCTGACTGCAGATTTTCACAGAAGTCTAATTTTATCTCTGGTCTCGTTCTTTTAAATTACGACATTTTAGACAATGTATGAATGTATGCTATAAGGATGTGCGACACTTCCAATTATTTTCACGATTGTGTTTAGGGTTTTTGTTTTTGTTGTTACATATTTGGCTTTCGAAACTTAAGTTTCTAGGTACCCAATTGAGATAATACATGTATTGTGTATACGAAATTAATATATGCTTTTACTAATGCTTGGTCGGTACCGCTCTTGATGGATTATTAGTCCCCGAGAGCACTACCAGACTAGGAGCTAGCGCTTTGATGATTGCATGATTAGATTTAACATAATATGTTAAATTTCTAGTTCTTAAGATATGTTGCTAAAAATGCAGCTCTCTCTGAAAAAATTTACCTTACCCGGGTGCAGCTGTATTATTTAGAACTTTAGGGTTAAATGCTTTCAAATATTTTTTGGTTTGCTTTTCACACTTTTGATCTCGAATTGATGAACGGTCAAGTTCAAAAAGACGTGTTGTGCGTCCAAAGATTAAAGCATTTGTCCGACTTCGAGAAATGAAATTACTTCGCAATGTGGTATAGCCACGATTCTATTAATATAATGAAGTTCATGACTTTTTATAGAAATAAAAACATAAGGCAAATTGAAAATAAAACTTCGACGTACTTTGCGCAAAGTATTTCAAAATATTTACGTTTTCTGCGACCAACCATGAGATATATTTCAGTAAAATCTCCGAATTAATTATGAAATGTTTTGATTTGTATATCAACTCAAGTGTTGCTAAAACATCACTTCGTATTTGTTATTCTTACTGTATTTAAGATCCGCTGTTTTATGTCAGAACTCATCGTTCTGTAAACAAAGAAAAATTGTTATAGTTTTCCCAAGACTTTCTAACAAAACAGATGTATATAAATTATAAGATGATTCTTATCCTGTAAAAGTAAATAGGTTTTTTGTCAATGTTTCATTTGGCCAGTTCATTAAATGATTGCGGATTCGCCTTTGTGTACAAGCTTTATGTACTCAGATTACAATCAATTAATAACTGGAATATAATGGCAATTGTAGCATTCTTAAGGGACATGCCTTCTGCTATTTGTTCTCAATGAATCCAACAAAATTAAACTCTTACAACTATATATCTTTTTCCTGTATAAAATAAACATTCGAATATTCTCGGGAGCACCATCATACAATCAATTCTGTTCTTGAATGTGTTCATTATGCATTGCAAAATAATTTATATAATTGTGATTACATAACAGGGACAAATCTTTGCATAAATAAATCATTGATTGTCTTGGGCTCTCATCCACGGAATGTCAAATAGTGCAAGTCAGCCCTTATTAAATATAATACTTTATGTTTGTTTGTGATGTGATTTGCGTTGAATCATACTATTGCTCATATTTTACAATTTTCTACTTTTCCATGCAGTTAAGTTCTCAATAAACCACAAGAACTTTTGATCCTGACGTCTTTTAATCAAAACTTGCTGTCTTTCAAAATATATTTATGTCAGTACGGAATTTAATAACCGATTAAATATGACTTGCTCTTAGGTTATTTGAGCTAAACTTGACATTATATCAACGATATGGTTCTTATCAATTTTGATTGACAAAATATGATATAATCAATCTGAATTCTTAATTTATAGTGTTTTGCAAACGAGAAAAAGTTACTTTAATCCTGGGTCATCTGGTTTGGAATCAATACACTATATGTATTCATTTGCAAACATATGCATGAGGGTCTGGATAGGGTTTACACAATAGAATATAATGGACAAAAAGTACAGAATAAAGGACAAGAGATATAACGAAAAATGAAAAAAAGGCATAGAAATAAAAAAAAATACAGAATAATGGGGTGCTAAAATATAGAGAACAGAGAATAATGGTCAAAATTTATAAACAATAGAGAAAATAGTCTAAAAAATTAAAGAATACAGAATTTAAGGACCCCCATCCAGACCCTTATAACTGTATGACATTCCCTAATTATCATGTTTGCTGAGTAGTTGTCCAAAATTAATGTTTGTAAAATATTCAGTTTTTCAATCAGTCTATCACTGAATGATATGTTCAATTGTTTGTTATTTTAGATTAACACCTTATCTTTTTTCTTACATTTATTTTAAGAGTTTTATAATCTATCTTAAAAACAACCGAAAATATCCACAGACAGAATAACAAACTCTGGGTAAGCGTGTGTGGTTGTATATTTACTTCACATCTTTAGATCGTGATTTGAGTTCACTTGGTTAGGTTTGTCTTGGACGTTTCATTTCGTTTGGTTTTATAAATATGACGTAGTGCCATAATTGATACATAAAAAGATAACAGAAATAACCAAAATTGTAAAGACAGTATAACAAACCACAAAACAATCGACTCCTCCTAGAAGATAGACCTACAAACAATGACATATATGCACCAACAAACACTACATGATCCAGATAGCCCGAATTGGTACATGGCACAAAATCTGGAGGGTTTTAACCCGTTTGTGTGCGAACAACCCCCCCCCCCCCCCCCCCACCCTTTCTTTGTCAATTTAAACCTTATTTAGTTATAGTGAAACACACCATATAAAACCTCCACAGTCCTCCAACAGCGCCACTAGCAGGATGACACCGACTTGAAGAGAAGAAAAAACGGCAGATCCTTTGGAAAGTAGAGTGTGTACCAAAACAAGAAAACAATATTGTATTCTCATAAGTTCAATTGGTATCATTGGCTGATTCAAAAGGGGGAGGATAGGACCCCCCTCTTTATTTTTTTTAATTATGTAAATGTTTCATGGTGTTCGGGGGGGGGGGGGGGGGGGTGGAACCCCCTTTCCAAAATGGCCGTATCCGCGCCTGGGTATTCAGACTAATTTCGAGTTCATCATTTTTAGAAAATGCGTATTTACAATTTCTATTTTCTTTTTCAGCTTACTGGTTTTGTTACATCAACAGCACTGTAAACCCTATGTGTTATGCACTTTGCAACGCCAACTTCAGACAAACGTTTTTAAGGATACTAAAGTGTAGTTCCAACAAAAGAAACCGAAAGAACCATATGGTGTCATCGTACTCGTTCAGTTGTGGACATCGATGAAAGGAAATCGTGTTTGTTTAATGATTTCGATTTGTTTGCATTTAACGGCTAACGTTTGAAGATGGTGCAAAAAAATGCATATGCAAGGAATTGTAAGGAAACGACATCATTTTATTTTTATATCTTTCAGCTGAACTTATGACAAAGATGAAAGAAAAGGATTACAGATAACATGGATAAGTGATCGTTGTTTTAACACATTTCAAATAAAAAACACATAATCTGAATCTTTGTGTCATCATCAACATAAAACATTAGCAGACGTAATAATATTGCCAATATTAACGTCAACAGCAGGAGAATATTTATTGTGTTTCCATTTGTGTGAATTACTATGACGTACATCAATATTTGAATGTGTTGTCACGAAATAAAAGTAAACTATTCTTGTGTTGATTGCATGCCTAGTTACTATAAAAACAGCCACTGAATTATTACTGACAATTAAAGAAAAACAAAGACTGGAACAACATTATTGCAGCAATACTTGTCTTATCTTTAGACTTTTCATTTTATTTTTAGTCAAACATTGCTGTACCACTTCTTACCTAAATCCAGTAGGACCAATTTACCATAAATATCTCTTGCACACTTGTATTCGTTTGGGATATTTATATCATATTATCATGTCTATGGAAATTAAATCCGATTTGATATAACATTCACATTTTTATGGATACATTATATTTGTAGAATCCAGATCCGATGACCAATTAAAATGTCTCTGTATATAGAATAAGTGTTGATAAGAATCAAAACTTCAGAACACAAACGATAAGTGATAAGCCAATAAGGACTGAAAGGCCTAACTGATTATGTTTCATGTACAAAGACATTCAAAATGTCGAAAAACTAAACAAAAACATGACCGAGACTCCAACAAAATATAGCGTCAAGCTCAGAGATAACAAAAATACTGGATTGAGGACAATAATAAAAAATCAAAGTACTGAAGTACTGAACATCGGATGACCACAAGTTCTTGAGGATGGTCAAAAGCACTTGTCTCAGAAAAAAACAACATATCTCTTTACCTAAAACTGAGGTTAATGTACAGAGATATATTTTTTTCTGAGACAAGTTCGTGCGTGGATGATGACTTCAACTTCACCGTAATAACTATTATATTGTAGTGATACAAATCAGTATACACTGAGTTGTTGTTTATATTATATTAAAACAACAGTTACATATATATATGATTTGAATCCATTTGTATATCATTCTATTCTACTATTCTAAAAATAGTGCAATGCAAGTGCATGGTGGACACTTTTCTGTAAAAATTCGATTTTTCTAAGATTGGATACGAGTAGGCATTCATATTTTCCCGCAAAATCAATTACAGAGTTACCGGTCCTTGACGGTATTTTCACAAAACGTTCTTTGAGATATTCTTCCGCATGCTTTAAAACAATTTTTCGGTACGTGTGTATTGATATTATCAATGATTTTTTACTTATATATATATATCTAACTACAAAACATTTTCATATTATTAATTTATGTTGTAAACAAAAATATTTTTATCAGTATTCATTGAAGAGATGTATTTATATCAAACGATAAGGAATGTTATTTTGCACTCGTTTATGTGCGCGTATTTATCATGTTTATAGATCGGTTACAAACCCAAAACTAATTTACATAATGGAAATCTAGGCGATAGCAATACATCGGGATGACCTCAAGGTCATCGCGATGTAAAAAAACAGACTGTAACAAGAATTATAAACGTAGACTTGTACAGAGCAGAAACTCTTAGTTATTGAAATCAAGCTTAAAGATCTTGACCATCAGATTTGAAATAACGTGGTCCCACATTCAGCTATCGGTTGATGTACTTCGGAGGAGATAGTATACAACAATGCCATTTTTATTTAGAGGCCGGCTGAGGCCCGCCTCTAGGTGCGGGATTTTCTCGCTGTGTTGAAGACCCATTGGTGGCCTTCGGTGGTCTGGTTGTTGTCTCTTTGACACATTCCCCATTTCCATTCTCAATTTTATAAAAACAAATATGCACAAATCATGTGCTATACCCAAAGTAATTTTCTTCATAATTGCAATGCTGAAACCATTTTTTCAAACGATATATAAACTGACGATATTTTTTCATTCCCAAAAATACCAGACGATCTGATTGAACAACTTTTATAAGCTAATCTTAGCTTATTATAACAACAAGAAAGCTTGAAAGGGACAATCCTAATTCAGAAATTTTAAACGTAATATTACCGTAAAAAGCTGTATGTGGAACACCACTTTTATAAAATTCCCGCCGGAGAAATTTTATGATAAAATTAAGTACACGTTTCGATTTATTTATGATATCTATATTCATGTTAATACTTTTATTATTAAATACGTCTACTTAATCTGAGACGTCAATGCGAACACGCCCATATTGAACAAGTTGTGACAACTACACTCCACAAAAAGTGAGAAAGGAAAGTGATCTTCAATGGCTGGGGAAATTAGCAATAAGGAAAGAAAATTCTCCCACTTATCACGGTCTAAAAAGGACAACGATACACATTATAGTAGAATCTAATTCTAGTAAGTTGAAGTAGACATAGCAAAGATGCATGGTTTCTGTCTGTAACTGCGAATACTCTCAGATCTGTACTTAGTGTCTTTTTGTTGTGGGGATGTATAAGTACCCTGCTACGTCCACTCTGTGTTTTTGTTAGATGTATTTCTGCTTTGTATAGATCTGATGATTTAAGCCCTTTTCAACTGATTTTGATAGTTTGTTCTTATGTTCTACTGTTACACCACTGTCCCAGGTTAGGGAACTTCAAACTAGTTTAACCCCGCCACATTCTGCATGTGCCTGTCCCAAGTCAGGAGCCTGTAATTCAGTGGTTGTCGATTGTTGCTGTATATCATATTTGTTTTTCGTTCATTATTTTGTTCACAAATCAGGCCGTTAGTTTTATCGTTTGAATTGTTTCACATTTGTCATTTCGGGGCCTTTTATATCTGACTATGCGGTATGGGTTTTACTCATTGTTGAAGGCTGTATGGTGACGTATAGTTATTAATTTCTGTGTCATTTGGTCTCTTGTGGAGAGTTGTCTCAATGGCAATCATACCACATCTTTACATTTTTATTTATTCCATTTATAAGTTCAAAAAATCTGGGTTGTTTTCAGTGAAATATGTCATCTCAATATCTTCAGGTATTTTTTAAGAGAGAGGAGAACGATACCAATGGGACATTTAAACTCATAAGTCGAAAATAAACTGACCACGCTATTGTTACAAAAGAAAAAAGACCAATAGACAAATAATACACAAAACACAACATAGAAAACTTAAGACTGAGCAACACGAACCTCGCCAAAAACTCGGGGTGATCTCAGGTGCTCCGGAAGGATAAGCAGATCCTGCTCCACATGTGGCACCCGTCGTGTTGCTCATGTGTTGCTTAAAGTATCATTCAAGAAGTGTTTCGTCCTGTTTTTCTTTATAGAGTTCATCTCCAATCACCTGACGGTATACGTTATCTACTCTTAGCTAATTTAGTCTCAAGGACATGGTTTATTTATTACCTGTAGTTGGCTTTGAATAGCTTTCCTTAATTCTAGTAATTTTTCATTTGTCTTGTTGTTATTTTTTTTTGTCCATATGATGATTGAAGCCATTTTCCTATACATTTTTACAGTTTTTTCTTATGTTGTACTGTTAATTACCAGGCTTTGTAAGAATCAGGCAATTTAGAAGAATGTCAAAACATGGCAAAAAAAACCCCTCAGACCTAACAATCTTATTTTGAGATTACCCTCATACTGAGCTATAAATGGTAGGTCTTTCGTTTCTGCATGTCTGGTAATTCTAGAAATCTCTTGATAAATTTTGGTTGGAATGATAGCAAAGTAGGGAGTTATCTCCCCATAATTGTTTATTTCTAGTGCATTTCAGTCAAATTATATCTTGAAATACCAGAACAGGAAAAGGAAATGAATGTTATATTCATGCATCATTATATATTTTGAACTTGAATTAATGTAAACTTGAGCGGGTTTTGTTGTCATGTTTTCAACACTGCCTAATTCTTCGGCAGATTGGCACTTAAACTGCGATTGCCGAAAAGACAAACAAGAGTTCACAAAACACAACATAGAGAACTAAAGACTGAGCAACACAAACACCACCAAAAAGCGGGGACGATCTCATGTGCTCCGGAAGGGTAGGCAGATCCTGCTCCAGATTGTGCACCCGTCGTGTTTTTCATGTTAGTACAACACCTGGTGATAAGTCTAATTTTGTATGTCATATTCGAGGAAAAGAGGGCGGGGTTGTGGTTTCGACAATTGGAACATACCCGCATCCATCTTTGAAACAGATATTACATAACGGTCAACCAACTCGTGATGGCGTCAGTAAAGTTTTCAAAGGGGGTGATTTCAACTTCATCACAAGGAAATCGTGATAGGTAATGCAAGCTATGGAATATCGTATCAACTGGGAGATATATACTCGATATGCAGGCTCTCGTGATCTTATAGGATAGAATGCGTTGTGTTTATATGAAGTAGAAAAAGACGTCTGTTCAAATGAACGATTTAATGATGGGTGGCAATGACGTTTACACATAGATGCCATGACGTTACATAGACAGCGCTAACGCGTATAAATAAGTGTATATATCTCGCGGTACTATGAAAGTCTCTATCTGTCCCTAACAAGGTACTGCTGGAATGTTGCTACATAGAAATGGAAAGTTCACAACTAGTAAGCTGAAATCAACTCTTTTGTCGTAAAGTTTTGTTCTCAACTGACCCTCATTGTCAATTTCTAGATGTAATCAAGATATGAGGCAGACTTAACTGTATCTGTTGTATTCTTTTATTTCTTAAAATATCGTATCAACTGGGAGATATATACTCGATATGCAGGCTCTCGTGATCTTATAGGATAGAATGCGTTGTGTTTATATGAAGTAGAAAAAGACGTCTGTACAAATGAACGATTTAATGATGGGTGGCAATGACGTTTACACATAGATGCCATGACGTTACATTGACAGCGCTAACGCGTATAAATACATGTATATATCTCGCGGTACTATGAAAGTCTCTATCTGTCCCTAACAAGGTACTGCTGGAATGTTGCTACATAGAAATGGAAAGTTCACAACTAGTAAGCTGAAATCAACTCTTTTGTCGTAAAGTTTTGTTCTCAACTGACCCTCGTTGTCAATTTCTAGATGTAATCAAGATATGAGGCAGACTTAACTGTATCTGTTGTATTCTTTATTTCAGGTTCGATGGAATAGATGAATAAGAATAAGAATAAGAAAATCTATTGTTCTAATTAAGGGTCCGTGATGGGCAGCATGACATTTATACACACAAGACAATACACTATGATTCGTAACAAA